AGGCAAGGGATGCCGTCACCAAGTCCACAAAAACAGAGGGGCGACTGTAAATAGTTTTTGCTAGAATCCAAACATTAGATCTTTCTCAGTTTTGCGGAATATCTCCAGCATCCAGAAAATCAAGATTGTTTAGAATTAATTTGAATTAGGATTTTAGACATTCTAGGAGACAGTGTAGGATGTTTAGACCATAGTTCCAAGGTGAAACCAAGAGAATGATGGTAAGCACCAGGTATATAAAAAAGGAAATAACAGCTGATTTCATAACTGGAGAGTTTTCTGTTTGTAGACAAAAACAGGGAAGTCTATGATAATGTAATGCTCAATCTTAGTGTCCAAATATGAAAAGGGAAGTAGGGTTGGCGAGTGAGACAGGGAATATCACAGCCTGTAGGCAAGGCTGATCACATAAATCTACCTACTTAATTTCTACAATGCTTCCAGTCTTGGAGAGGTATTGATTAACTGGGAAAGAACTATGTAACAACCCCTATCTGCATGGCTGCAGTCTAGCGGGTGAGGAAATGGGGCAACAGAGTATGAACTCTGGCCATCCAACTTAGTCTACATGACAAAATTGGCAATAGAATAAAATATACTGTGGGCCTTTCATATTTGCTAGTGTTTGGTTCCAGGACACATACACACACACACACACACACACACACCATTGATACCAAAATCTGTGGATACTCAAGTCCCATTAAATAAAATGGCATAGTAAAATAGTGTCCCTTATATAAAATGGCAAAATCAAGGTTTGTGGGTTTTTTTTAAATAATATATATATTTGAATATTTTCAAGCTGTAGATGGTTGAATCCATGGATTAAGAATTTGTGGATACAGAGGGCCGACTGTATTCCCAAATTTTCCTAAACTGATTTTGGTTTTAATCCTATTAGTGTATTACAATGGTGTAAGTTGGATGTAACAATTGCAAATCACTTTTTTTGCTGTTGCAGAGGTTGGAATTCTTTTCCAACCATGCAACAACCCAAATCCCCCCCTAAACACACATTGCAAGCAGCACAGTTCCTGCCCCCCCCCAACATGGCCATTTCCATGCAAGAACATCATCTGCTGTAACTTCCCAAGGACTTCCAGAAGTCCCCATGATGACTCTCACAGTGCATGTAGCTACAGGAAAATAGCTCAACAGCAACCTTCTCATCCCCCCCCCACCCAAGTTTCTGATCAAATGGAGTTGGCCATGCTAGAGGTAAGCAGTACTGCTTACAAAGCAAGTTTAAGGGGCTAGCATTGGGGAATATTCCTACAGAGACATACTCTTGTATGCCTCCTGGTAGAGGATCTTGGGCCTTATTTCCTATTAATTATAACATACTAAACCTTTATACTAAACTTTTAATGATTTTAGATACACTGTTCTTTTTCTAAACATGGCAGCTAGTTTATATATGTATTAGGAACTCTAATAAATTATAGAGAAGAAGAAGGAGGCCATCATATGGAATTGTGCATTTCTCAAGAGATGGCATTCCAGATCTGAAGTGTAAGGAATGTAAGGAGACTTTTTTTTCTTATGCAGACTATTTGGATAATTATTATTTTTACTTTTAAAAACATCTAATTTTTCTTTCCTTCATCATGTAAAGATATTTTTTCATTATACATTGTAGAAAGTGACACCCCAAAGAAGGGAGTGATCAAACATTTTAATAAACTTACTACCAGCTTCTGAATTTTTGTTGGCAGGACAAGAAGTTTAATATACTCCCTCTATTCATCTTAATCAAAAATATCAAACAGCTTCATGTCTCCTGGGTATATAGAAAAATAACTCTAACAAGTAGCCTCATCCAGATTTGCTAAAAGACTTACATCTGTTTAATTCAAATAAATTCTCTCAGCACTTATTAAAGTTATATGACAGTTATAACTGTTAGTAGTTTTTCTCCCATTTTTAATGGGAGGAAGAAATTCAGCTTCTGAATCTCTTCTTGATCCAGCTGTATTCATTATTGGTGTTATTCCCCAAAGGATTCTCAATTAATAATTTATAGAGGAAATACAATTGAGTAGAAGGAAAATAAAAGCAGGAAAGAACACGCATTTGTTTAAAATACATGTATTTAGCCGTCGTTGTTGTTAATTGTCATCAAATCAACTTTGACTTATGACAACCCTATTAATGGGAGACCTTCAAGAATCCTGGTCAATAACAGCCCTGTTCAGGTCTTGTAGACTCAGAGGCATGAATTCTTTGTCTATCCACATATCATTCAGGCTTCTTCTTTTCCTACTGTCTTCTACCTTACCAAGCATTATTGTCTTTTCTAATGAGTAATGATAAGTCTCATGACTTAGGCTTAGTTACAGTACAATATGGGGAGCAGGGGTTGTGCAAAGTTTTTGTGCAAAAGATAGTTCTTGGAGAACTTTAGAGACAATGCGAGGGGTGGTGTCATACCAGTGTTCTGAGGGACAGCATCTGAGAAATGTCCTTTGACAGGATGACAGGATACAGACGATTGAGGAGATGGAGATGGACAGGGGAAGAACAGGAGCAGAAATGTATTGAGTTGTAAGGACAGAGGTATGTAATAGGGCAAGCCCAAGAGTTTGTGTTGGATTCATGGGCAACCGGAGCCCAGAATAGACGGGACAAAAGAAGTGGATTCCAGCAACTTTGGAGGCATGGCATTCAAATGATGCATGCCTCCAAGGTAGCCCAAAGCTGATCTGATGCTTCACTCCAGTCTTTTGGACTGGAGCAAAAAGGAGCCAGGATAATTCAGCTCCTGGCAGTGTGGGTTGAGGCCAGCAGCTGCGGCCTGCTTTGGCAGGTTCTGGCCCAGTTCTGGCTAGAGTGGACTCAGGCTGCTCCTTCCCGCACATCTGCTCCGACGGGCAGGAAGCTGGCCCCAGGAAGCCAGTATAGAGATTTTAGAAAAGTATTTCCCTACTTTCTTTTCTCAGACAAGCAAAGACTTTTCTATTTCAACAGACATTTGATGAGTGATTATCTATGGTCCATGATACACAATACACAATGGATATGGCTAATTGTTGTGCTGGTGTGTGATTTAATGATGTACTGTATGTTTTAACCAGGTTTTAATTTTTGTGATTGTTTAATTGTGTTTTAACATTTGTATCTTGTTATTTTTAATAATTTTTATCACGATAAGCCATCTTGAATCCCAATCCCAACATGTATTATTATTTACATGTGACTGATTCTTCCAGAATGGGAGCAAAGAATACATATTCACATGAACTTTACAACATTCAACTCCAAACAGTTAAATGTAAATAGATGGCATCCACACAGAAATGTGAATTCCAGTATGGAATCTGCTGTATATCTGTGTTTCTTGATATAAGCACAAAAGACTTACATTTATGTTCATGGATCCTGAGGTGGGTCAAGAGCCCAGGGCTAAGGGGTCAGATCTCCTCCACCCCTCAAAATACTGGAGACCCTCATCCCCATTGTTTCCTTGACACAGTTGAGCCATCATTTCAGGCATTTTGTGTGGGGGGGCTGCACAGAGACTTTTGAGGGCTACAAGAGCCTCCTAGTTGCATGAGGCACATACAGCCCACAGGCACATTCTACTTGTTCCTTCTTTAACTTAATAGGACTATCCTTTCATCAGATGGCTTATGGGAGAAATAAATCAAGAGGCTATTAGAAGGTTGCATGCATACTTGATTGACACATTAAGCAAATTCAACCTAAATTTTGAATACTTTATACACTCTGTTGACTCTCTGTTTCCCTGTCTATCTTTAGAGTGCCTGGAGCAGATTTCTGAAGAAATGAAATCTTTTGTATGATCTATTTAAATTCCACATAGAATCAAGGCTACAGTAATGTCGACTTGATGTTCATATTTACTTTTATTTTGAAACAGGAAATGTCTTGATACCACGAGCCTCTTCACTTTCCACAGCATCTTCCTCAGTCAAGCCTATAGGGCCAACTAGTCTTGCAAAAACAAGCTCACATAAAAAGCCACCTACAGCAGCTTCTTCGCCAGATTATAGTAAGAATTGTAGTTTCATATTTCTGGGAGTTCTCTGATGGAGGGTATTGTTTGGCAAACTAGCAGACAAATCCACAATATTCCAGCAGCATCAGTATTTTAAATGGCAGTAACTTAAAACATCTCATTCTAAATTTTAGTAAAGGTGCCATTTACACTAGCCTTTCAAATCTATACTATAATGCTGCAAATTCCAGGAGTTTGAGAGTTTGTGTTTGGAAGAAAAGAGAACAAGTGAGAAGGAAAGACAAAAAAGAAAGTCCAAAGTTGAGGGTGCACTCTGGAGTGGGTATTGAGCTCCTGATCAGTGGATTTGGTTTGCAGGGAATCATGGGGCTTTCTCCCCAGTGACCGAAGTGTCATAACAGATACCTTTCTTCAATCCTTGTTAAAACAAAGCACTATTATCAGCCCCTTATGACAGACTTGTTTTCTTCTGAAATGTCCCAGACAGTCCACTCAGATTACTGAGTAGGGTAAAAAGGCACAGACCTTGAAGGAGCCAGTAAACATTTTGTTGTTTTCATTGTTTAATGAAAGACCAGAACAGGCATCCATAATGGTTAATGAATAAATGCATGTATGAAACTGTTGTTGTTGTTGTGTGTGCCTTCATGTCAACTTTGATTAGTGGTAACCGATCCTAGGGGTTTCTTGGCCAGATTTATTCAGAAGTTTGCCATTGTCTTCCTCTTAGACTAAGAGTGTGAGTTGCCCAAGGTCATCCAGATTGTAAACCACATTCCCTCCCTCATAGCTTCCCCAGTGGAGGAAACTCCCTCTACAGCTTGCTCCTTTACTGATATTATCTATAACACAGGATCAGGGGAATATATTGACATTAATGTTTGTTATGTACCTTCAAGTCAACTCTGATTTAGAGTGACCCTAAGGGGAACCTATCATGGAGTTTTCTTTGAAAAATCTTTTCAGAGGAGATCTGCCATTGCCTTCCTCTTAGGCTGAGAGACCCAATGGATTTCCATGGCTGAATGGGGATTTGAATCCTAATCTCCTGGAGTTCTAGTCCAGTGCTCATACCATTGTACCATGCAGGCATTTATAGACATTGCTTGGTGTTATGTTAACAGCAACCCCACATTTCAGACATGAGTCTTTTCTAATTTTGCCCAGAGATGCCATGGGTTTAACCTAGAAACCTTTGCATGCAAAACATTTGCTTTATCACTGAGTTATAGCCACTTCCCATGTATAAACCACTACTGATTTTTAAAAGCAAATGGACTTCTTGGAACATGATGGGACTTATTCACAAATTCTTAAAGAACACAAATATGGAAGTATTGCTCTTGTATAAAAAGAGACTGGAAAGAGACCAATGTAAATAACACCAGTCTTTTAAAAAAGATCAAGAGGGTATCCAGGAAGTTAAAGGCTGGTTAACCTAAAATCTGTTTTGAGTAAATTCTTGGAAAGCATTGTTAAAGATCAAAATTTCAAGCAAATAATAGCAAGGGTCTTGTGAAGGGGAATCAACGTGTTTTCTGCAAATATTTCAGAATTTTGGCTGACTATATTATATTTACTAGCATAAATTCACCAGCTCTAATTTTGCTCCACATGTTTATTTTGATTAGCATTACTTGTGTTTGCATTTTTCCTTGGATATTATAGAACATGCTATAAAAAGGAGAATTGGCTCAGATTTGCCTTCAACATTTTTTGTGTTGCTAAATTCAAGATGTGCTCCCTGCAGAGATAGACAATGAGTTAAATAACTGGAGTATTGGTGAAACACAAAAGAACCTTTTTTTAGAGCTCTAAGGAGGATTGTGTATATTATGCATGAAGTGACTCCAACAGCAATAATGAGCTCAGTCATTTTGGGTTATGATTATCTTTGTTTTGGCAGTGCAGAGAAGCATTTTATTTCCATCACAGCCAAATCCAGCTCAGCCTGAAGAAAAAGCCAACATGAGTCCAAGTATGCACCAAGGATTTCAGAGACTGAGATTAAAATGCAAGATGAAATATGAAGTGTCATTTTAACTTTGCAAAGTACTATTTTGGTTTTCTTCTCCTTAGGTAATCCATTGTTCAGCTCACTTCCTACAACAGAGACTGATATTACAGGCACACCAAGGTATACAGGTATGTCTAAAACATCTGCAGTTATAGCATACTGAGGAAATAATATTTAACCAAATGTAACTTTTTTTCATTATCCAAATTCCAAAACAAAGAATCTTTTATAAGTCTTCAATACATTTCCCTTCACTTCTTCTCTAAGGTTGCAGCCATTTTCCAAGTTGTCACCACCACAGTTCTTGATGTTCGTTATACAGCTTAGTGACTTGGCTTATCCAGTCCATATGTGCTGTACCAAGAAAGTAACAAATGTGTGTAGGTGGCCATATCATTGCCAGGCATTGATTGCAAAATGGGAAGTGTAGGCAGATGTTTTCTTTGAAAAGATTTTTTAAAGGCAGAAATATTTGAAAGTTTGAATTTTTGATCTCCATCTACTTCTTGTTATGTGCCTTCAAGGCATTTCTGAATTATGGTAACCCTAAGGTGAACCTATCATGGGATTTTCTTGGCAAGAATTGTTCAGAGGAGGTTTGCCATTGCCTTTCCTTGAAGCTGAGAGCATGTGACTTGCCCAAGGTTACCCAGTGGGTTTCATGGCCAAAATGGGAATCAAACCCTGGTCTCCACAGTCACAGTCCAACACTCAAACCGCTGTGCCACAATACAATGACAAAATATGTCATGTAGTTACAAAATACAACTGGAAAGCAGTTGGGATGGATTATCTCATCTCACCCACAAAACATGACAACTTTTTTTTGTGCTTAGAAAAATAGTGTCAGGTAGGCTGAACTTTTCTATCTGGCCTGCTCATTTTCTGTATAAGTGTATGTCTAGATTCAGGAAGTCTAAGAAATCTATCTGCCTACCTATCCTGATATTTGACTACTTTTAAGGAAGTTTACAACTGAACTAGGGTGGCCAGATAAAGAAGAGAACAGGACTTCTGCATCTTTAATCATTGGTAGAAGAGGGAATTCAACAGGGGTAGTTCATCATGCAGGATTCCTGTACTTATCTCCATTTTTACACCATAGGCCTTACTCTGTGCTTGCGTACTCAGAAGAAAGGTTGACTGAGTTGCATGCATGCATGAAACATCAGATTAAACTGTCCATATCTTTCTACTCCACTGATTTGGCTACTGTAAGACAAATATTTTGGCCTAATCCCACAGCTGTCTAGTCACAGATAGACAGTAATGAAAGATACTTTGCTGGCTTACTGGAACCTTCTGTCCAGTAAGTATGTGAGCGCTGTATCCTTGTCACATAATCCTATACATGTTCACTCACATCTAAGTCCCCTGGAGTCCAGAGCAGTTTTCTCTTAGATAGGGGAGGTTTGCAATCTTTTTGTTGTTGTTGTTGTTGTTTGCCTTCAAGTTGCAGTCTTAGTTGCAAAAAAATAAAAGTTTAGGCTTTTTCTCATTATAGACCAATGTAGCATCCACCTATGGCTTACTCCCAAAAATTTTAGGATCCCAACCTTAAAACGTTTAAATTGAGTAAGATATATTAATTGAAGATAAACTGATACTGGGTGGTTGGGACAATGTACTGCAAATTAACTGTGGTGATTTGATTGGGAAATTATGAGGATATGCAAATTTGTGTCAATTCCTCCCCTTTTGGTGTACATATTCTTTTGGGGCAATGCATAAGTGCTGGTTTGCATAACTGAGTACTTTTGCATGACCACCATCAGCCTAAATGCCTGTTAATACAAGATATTCAAGATAAAATCTCCTCTTGGACATGTTGGTTGACTATTCAAATATTATTTGCAGGGAAGCTTTTGGTTATGGGAACTATCATATGAGGTCTCAGTTAAGACAGCTTATGTGCTGTTTGCAGAAACTATACATTTATGTTCTTCTAGGTGACCATGTGAAGTACATGAAAAAAGAAGAAGATGTACCATGTTCCATCACTGATACTCTCCAACATTTTCCAGTAGAGGATGGTGAGAGTACAGATATAGCTACAAGTCCTCCACAAAAGCCTCCAACAAACCTCACTGTGGTGACTGTTGAGGGCTGTTCATCCTTTGTTATACTGGGCTGGAAAAAACCACAGAATGAAACTGTTACAGGTTAGTTTTTTTTTCTTCTCTTGCCACCAGAGAGATCGAGCATTATATACCAGGCCTGGCATTATTTAAAAGAATTAAATCTCTTCTCCCATGCTAGTCATCCCCCACTGCTATTCTTGAATTTTGAAAAATTAGAGAATTTTTCGGTGGTCTTTAGGATTTGTTTTTAAATGCAATTTTTGTCCATTTTTTCATGTACTCAAGAGACAGTTTGTTCAGAGGGGATTTGCACATTGCCCGACACATTTTATCACATATTATCTGAAGCCTGTAAATTTAATTATTTTCACATTGACTTCTATTGATCATGACCACTGACAGTCTGGTCCTGCTTTTGCATGGAAAGTACTAGCAAGAATGCTGAAGCTTGCAGTTTTCAGATACCATATTTGTATCTTTATTGCACAGTTTTATGAGTCTGATGCTACTTGAACTGTCATGATGTCATCCTACAGAATCCTGGGATTTATAGCTTAGCAAGGTGCTTAGAATTCTCTGCTGCAGGCTGTAGTGCACTTTTTGAACTACAGCTCCCAAGATCCTCTGAGAAGTGAGACTGAGAATATGATTCAGGATAACATTATCAGATGGTTTCACTCATTATTATATGACATGATGAAATCAGTGTCTTGGAAATAACTCAGAGCAGAAGGGGGTTTGATGGCAGCAGATACACCAGTTTCCCCACTATAAATATCCATTCCTGCCAATGATAAGACTGGGACAAGTTCCAGAATCCCCAGCAAGAACGTGATGCTACTTACATCTGTTTCCAGAGAGAGAAAGCTTTCTGACCCTATGAATTGATGAGAAATTAAAAAATAAGTATTGCTGTATTTGCACATAAAGATTGAACTAAAAATGCTGTCCCAGGGCCTTTCTGGTAAAAATTTTACATTTTATCTTTATTTTAATAAAGATAAAATTGGCTTTATTATCTCAATAGTAATAGTATTCTTTTTTGTGGTCTTTGTGAAACACATAAATGAGTCTTGTGACTGTGCATAGCCAAGATCAGAAAAAAAGAGTAGCCTTAGTGAGAACCTCACCATCGCACCTCCAACATATTTCGTCAGGCATACCCAAGGTACTTTTCCTGAGTTCCTTTTCATCCACTGCACTAGCACCAATGTTTGAAATGTTGTCCCATCAAAGCAACTTTGTCAAGCAACTCGGTAGTTTTCCTTTCCTCCTCCTTCCAATTTTCATCTTGTACGTCTCAATTTCTTGATCATCTTTGGTGTTTCAGTCTTTCCCTTTGTTGTCTTTGTTTATGTATTGCCTCTAAGTCCCAGTCTGATGTATTTGTTCTGTCTCAGAAAAGGGTACAGACTATGTATAAGGGTATTACAAGGCAGGATCTTTGCAACTAGATCTGGAGGCTCTGAAGGATCTATTTATAGAAAATTTCTCTCTGGATTGCAAATGAGTTAGTGAAGAACTTCACACTGTTGGCCTTCTCTATGTGTAAATACCCACCTTTATCAAAAGAATTGTAATAATCCTTCCATGCAATGTTGGCACCAACTACCTACATTGCAAAGACTCACACACTGATGACCCAATCAAGGTGATCCCTTTCATCCCTTTCACTAAACCTTAAGTCTTTACCAATAGTATGGCCCCTGCAAACCAGCCATCTTTCTATGCTAACCACTCCATGACTTCCAGCATGGTTTTTGTCAGTGGTGCTTATATTAGGATGTTTAGGCTATAGCAGATGCTTCATTTGGAAGAGTGGTTTTGTCTGATGTTTTAGCATTATATTTCCCTTCTCTGGTAAATTAGCATAATCCACCCTTCTCCATTCTTCTTATATCTTTCGCTTCTTGTACTTCATGCAGTAGATATCTGAACTGGGGGGGAGTAATTTAGGGCCTCAGCAGACGACTAATAAAGTCATCTCCAAGGC